ATGTCAAAATAAATAAGTTTTATTTTGAGATATGCATTTCAAATTATATAATTTACTTATTAAGGGCCTATTTGACTCCTCCTCCTTTTTGGTGTAGGATGCATTTAGAAATAGTAAGCTGATAGAGAATACGTGAATAAAAAATTAGAAAAATTTTAAATTTGCGTGTAATATTATTTTATTAAAAATTGTGATTAAAAGGAAGACGGAGAAAAATATATTTTAAAAATAATGAAAATCAAACAAAGACCCAGTAAATTATTTAAGCTTAGCCAAACATGCCACGATTTTATCAAGAGCAGTTTTTTTTTTATCCCTTAAAGTTTGTATTGAATTTTCGCTCTTGATGCCACACCTAGATAACTATAATAACATAAATCATGAAACTCAACTCGAAGGTGTCTCATGTAAGTTTAGCAATAGTGTTAACGTAACAATTTAACCCCAGCTCGCTACACATGCATTTAAATGTCTAAATTATATTATTAACCATTTTTTCATGCTAAAAATTAATAAAATATTTTTATGATTAACAAGAAAACCAAATATAATATCTTTTTAAGGCCAAAAATTGAAGTTTCAACATCCCAATAATGTAGTTTACAACTAATTAGAATTCACATACACAACAATAGAAGAATTCTGAAGTCCTTTTTTTCTTGTCAAAACACGTTAGTCAGAATCTCAACCAAAAGAAGAAAGGGAAAAGTAAGAGATTTGAGCCTTGCTCCACCCTTCCTTTAAGCAAGGTCTGGACCGCTCGGGAGCGGTTCGTAACCATCATGTTGTGCTTTAGTCTTCTCGTTAACAGGTATACACTTGAGAACAACTGCAATAAGCAAGCTCACTGCCCCGAGTACAACGCTAAGAAGCCAAAGCTGCCAGTTTAATGGTACAGTGCTGGCGAAAGTGCCCAGGAACTCGACTATAATAACTTGGAATATGACTGTGGCTGCGATGATTCCTGTAAATGTCCAGTTTCCAAACATTCCACGGAAAATGTTTATCTTCTCAATGTCGCGGCTATTTATCTCATTGAAGACCTGAATGAAACCATGAAATCGGAAAAAAATAAAATTATCATGAAACGAGTATATATTACGCGGAAGTCCCATTATTGGAATTTTAGGGAAATATATGAGATAATCAAACACAAGGAATTTAGTTGGTTTGACACTTTGCCTACTACTATGGAGTAATTACTACTTGACAAAAGTGGTGAATGGTAAAGAGTACCATGTTGTCAATCCCGAACTCTACAAAATACTTACTAGAGGATAATACCTGAAAAGAGTACTAAGTTCTTGAACCGAAATCTCCCACCAAAATGTCCATGACGGTCTCACAAACTAAGACTCTCAAAGGTACAAAGTTCTATTTTGAATTCAAGTCAATTCTTTTTGTAGTGGACAAACAAATGACATTCTATTCGAGATTGTCTTCGAACAATAAAACAACATATATATACAGCGCCAAAAAATTACTGGATGTTCTTAAAAGGGAAGGAAGAATTCTTGATGTTACATATTTTTTGGTGCTGGTTTTTATTTCCGCGAACATGATGATAATGAAAAAATATTGACAAAAATTCGTGGAAATCAAGTCATGGAGACATTTTTACCTGACAGAAGACGAAAGTGTTGAATATGAAAGTATTGAGTACTGCAGTGGCATCAGAACCACTAAGTCCTAATAACTTCTTTCCAACAAAATTGAGGACTAGAAGAACAGCCAACTGATAAATGCTCTGACCAATGATATTCCTCCACATGGTCCTGGTAATGAAACTTTCAGTGCTCAAAACAGGAGGCCGTTTCATCAATCCTTCATGTGGCGGTTCAGTGGCCAGTGCAAGTGCACCTAAAGTGTCCATAATCAGATTGACCCAAAGCAGTTGAACGGCCGTAAGGGGAGCTGATCCTGAAATTGATAGCAATGGATAAAGTTGCTCACATGTCATTTAGAAATAGTTACTTTTACGTAACTTTCAGTTTTCATACATGTTAGGGTGTGTTACTTCTTTCTTTTTCACGTTAAGCGCACGTTGAAGAAATGAAAAGCCAGTTGTACAGCTAAACTTACCTGAGACACATGCAGATATAAAGTTGATCATGAGAGCAACAATATTCACAGTTAACTGGAACTGCACAAACTTTTGAATGTTTATGTATACAGAACGCCCCCATCTGGCTACATTCACTATTGTTGCAAAATTGTCGTCCAGTACAATTACATCAGCGCTTTCTTTTGCAACCTAAAAAAATTCATTATTTTCAATAAGAGGGAAAAAATAGTAATTAAGAGCATCTGGATAGTGAAAAAAGCCATACGTAATACCACTCATTAGGATGCACTTGGTTTTCTCCTGCCATCATACTTATTATCACCTAAATACTGTGGTTTTTGCATATGATCACTTATTACAGAAGTCTAAAAATCACAATTCATAAAACAAAGCAAAAAAGAAAACCAAAATCATCTATAGGTGAATAACATCCATTGCAGGCTTCTAGATTAGATCAACTAGGAATTAGTCAGTGATGTTCCAAAAACTTCAAATTTTCCTGAATAACTCAAGATTATCAATATATTGATTTCTTCCAGAAGGAGACCAAATGAATAACAAACATCATTTGGAGACTGAAATTTGAAAATAATACAAGGCATAACCAACTATTGCAGCAACAAAGCAAGTGAACTGACCTCGGTTCCTGCTATGCCCATGGCAAACCCAATGTCAGCTTCATGTAAAGCTGGGGCATCATTGGTCCCATCACCAGTAACTGCAACCACCTCTTTCATGCCTCTCAAATTCTTTACCAAAACATGCTTGTCTGTAGGAGATGACCGAGCCATTACCTACACCCACAATCTAAACACTTTAGAAGACACTATATAATTTTCACATATTGCCTCATTTTATGAGTATACATATATTATCCACCTTTATTTTTGGTATGATTTGAGACATCTGATCGGAAGACTTGTGGCGAAAATCTGGACCTTCAATGGCAAGATCATCATCGAGAAGTATGCCACATTCTTCAGCAATCGCTTTAGCTGTGTTAACATTATCACCAGTGACCATTCGCACGGTAATTCCAGCTGCTAAGCAAGTTTTAACAGCTTTTTTTACCCCAGGACGAACTGGATCCTTGATTCCCACTATTATAATCAACGTATAGCCAGAATCAGGGATGTTATTTTCTTGAAACCCATCGTCCATATCCTTGAAGGCCAAGCATAGAGTGCGCAAAGCTTCACCAGCAAATCCATTGATAACATTCATGGTATCTCTTACAAGTTCTTCAGACAAATGAAGAGTTTCGCCATTGGTGCCAATCATCTTGTCACACATTTTTAGTATAATCTCAGATGCACCTTTGCAAAAAGCTCTGACTTTTCCATCTGGAAGAGACAAAAGCACAGACATCTTTTTCTTTTCTGAATTGAAAGGTTCAACCTTCAACAACTTGCAGGATCGGCGTTCATTATCAAAATCGCCACCCAAAAGCAATCCAAATTCTAATATTGCTGATTCTGTTGGTGTACCCAAGATGGAGTTTTTTCCATCTTTATTCTTGACCACCTCAGACCCTGTATTATTAAATATCCCCTGCAAGAGAATGCTTATTACATTTTCTGATATAACTGGATCTAATGTCGCCCTCTGTCCACTAGCTTCTACTTCTTTTACTTCCCCACAAATCCATATTTTATTCACTACCATATGGTTTGTGGTCAATGTCCCTGTTTTATCAGTGCAAATGGTAGTGGCAGAACCCATTGTTTCACAGGCAGACAAATGTCTCACCAATGCTTTGTCATTCATTAACTTCTTCATTGCGAATGCAAGACTCAACGTCACGGCCAGGGGCAACCCTTCTGGAACTGCAACAACAATTATAGTCACTGCGGTAGCAAAGTAATTTAAAAGCGTCAGAGCATCACCAGAAGTCCATTTGGTAAATTCTTGGTGAAGTCCTTTCTCCACCAAAAACCGGACAGTCAATACTAAGAAAGTCGTCACAGCAAATGCCAGTCCAATCTTACCAATAATAGTAGCAACACCATTTAGTTTCACCTGTAGTGGTGTCTCATCTTCTCCTTCCTCACTTAGAGTTTCCATCAACTTACCCCATTCAGTTCTCATACCCACAGTAGTCACCAGCATCTTACCAGAACCGTCTTGAACTTTGGATCCTGATAAAAGAAAAGGTCTTTTTTCATATATAT